AATCTAAATTTGTAAGAGTAATAATGCAAATTTTTAAAAATTTGAAGAGGGTTTTCCATGATCTCTGATAACCGTGAAGGCACAGAATCAGAGGAATGACGCAGCACTTTTGAAGGCAGGCAAAAAAAACCCTTGGGAGAAAAGGCTTACCTATCTCTTATAGGCAGCAGGGCTCTTGAAGGAGGGTCTCCAAAAAAGACGCCTGTCACAGAGCCAGAATCCTGTCCTCACAGCAGAAAGGTTGTACTGGGTGAACAGATGAACAAAATAAAAATTAGCTTAAAATACACTATTCTTTTAACAACTTGGCTGAGAAACCTCAAGAGTGCCAAGAGTAAAGAATGTGCAAGCCTCAGTATAGTTCACAAAAGATTATGAAAGCAGGTTTAAGATTTTATTATGGTGACTATTAGCTTTGCCTTCCAATGAAAGATTTCAATAGTTTATATGGATCTGTAATTCCTCTGATCAAATTATGATGGGGGGAGTCTTATTTTTTAGAACACAATTAAGGACTAACAGAACTTTCACATTCACCCTCCTACTACTACCAAATAATTCCCTGAATGGTCCAAATATAGGAGTTTACCAAAAACTAGAACTGAAAGTTTTTCTGATCTGGCTGACCCTGTAGGATGGCTCCTTCCCCCACAGACACAGGAAAGCTAACACGTGCATCTCACAGCTTCCCTTGCCCTTAGAGGTAGAGAAGTAACAAAGTTCTGGCCAAGGCAATGAACACAGAGATCTTTGGTAAAAAGCATCCTTTCAGGGGAAAAAAAAGAAAAAATCAAAGTGAAACATTACTAGAAGAAAAGCTCTCTGCTCTTCTGTATCTGCAACAGGAATTCAATGACTTAAGGTAAAGCTACCATCTTGTGATCAGGAGGTTAAGGGCCACTTATGAAGATGGTGGCTGAGGAAGAGGACACTCAAATTCTTGATAACCTTTCTTGGCTGCTGTACTGGCCCCAAATTGCCTGTCTGTGGATTTCTTGTCACGAAAGAAAAAGGAGTTCCTCTTTTGGACATCACTAGTAAGGTTTTTAAGCATTCACAATTGAAGACATTCCTGATATGTATGGGAAGATTCAGATTAATTCTAAATACCAATAATTCAGTTTGCTGTAGACATTTCTAGCGATAAGAAGGTGTTATAGAAACACTAAGAAACAAAAACTGAAGATGTATTAGAATAAAATTTAAAAACATCAAGTATGCTTTTAAGGGTCTAAGAGATCATGAGAACGGTTTTTTCCAGTGTGGGCAGCAGGGCCTCTGCAACAACTGCTCTGTGCCAAAGGTCTAACACTCGTGGTAAATGGCATACCTAAGCATGGTTTAATCTCACTGGCTCATTTTAGCAGTCTTCCCCAAAAGATGCTAATCCAATATGGGAACCACATGATTTTCAGAGTAAGTTTATAGAAAAGAATTAACCCTGTCATTTTCTTATTCCCTCATTTTTAAGAAACTTTATCTACAAATTTCCTAATTCTAAACTGCTCTCCTTCTACTGCCTTAATTAAGCAAATGTTCATGAACCAAGATGATAAAGGTTTCAAATGGCTCTTTTATAAAGGAATTATTACCCAAGTCACTCTTGGAAAGAAAGAGCAACTTGCTTGAGTTAAGGATTAAAAACCATTGTGAACCATGCACTCACTGCCTATCACAAAAATAGAGCTACAGGTACAGAGAACCTCTAACAAAATGTTTTAGCAATTATTGGCTAACATGATTAAGTATGACACATTTTCTTATAAAAAACTAAAAAAAAAAAAAAAAACAAAACCCTAAAAAAAACAAAAACAAAAAAAACCCTGCCACTTCTGTTTCAACCATGTGGTTTTCAGTGACTTCAATCCTACATTTAAGAAATAATAAACTTACTTTTAAATATCCTAGTCTTCCACACAGCTAAATATGAAAACGAGCAGATGACTACCACTCAACCTCACATAGTCAACGGACAACTGTAACTGGATTTCTGTCTACGTAAGAGTTCTAACTTTAGCAACATGATGTAAATTATACAGTCCAAAGCCCTCAATTTACAGAGGAAACAAAAGGTAAGATTAATCTACCCACGTTCATAGTTATTTATTCCAAGAATCTAATGTAAACAGGGGATAAGACTTTTATTTAACAAAGAAAAATCTGTCTCAAGAAACAAACAATAAATAATATTAACTTAGTAATCTTCTATGAAAAGAATCTGCAAAATAATTCTATCTACAGGCAGTACACAACTTTTCTAAATAACCTGTAAATCTTCTTTATGGCCTCTTAAAAAAGAGATTCTTTCATAGTAATAATCAAAAATACTTCCTCTTATGAAGTCCCTAACAAAGTTGCTACTTAACTTAGTCCTCAAAAAAATTAAAGAGTAAGGGAAAACACAGTTACCATAGAAATACTATTCCTCTTGTTAGTACTTACCTTTCAAAGGCAAGAAGAGCCTTTCATAGGAACATAATCAGTAATAAAGTTTTTAAGGAGTATAGTCCTAAATCTGAAATATCTTTTAAAGCAATGAATAATTACTCTGGTTGTTGGAGGGAGACTTATCAGAAAAAGAAAAAAAAATTAAAAAAAAAAAAAAAAGCAATTCTCAGTCCAGATTCTATTGGACTGTACTTTATGAAGTTTGTTACTTTTTTCTTCTACATGAGTTTTCACCATTTAGCCTGGGTTTCTAGCACAAAGGCCTTTTTTAATGGCACTGTAGAAAAACTCTGATTTATAATAAGGACAGTTCCACTTGTGATCATTATCCAGGAACCAGTATCATTACAAATCAATCAGGGGTCATTTATATTCACAAGATTCAAGGAATTCTATTTGGATAAATGAGACAGTAATCCGGAAAACAAGTAAAAATGAGTATAAAATATCTTTTTTTTAATAAATTTTTTTTAATGTTTATTTATTTTTGAGACAGAGACAGAACTTGAGCGGGGCCGGGGCAGAGAGGGAGACACAGAATCCGAAGCAGGCTCCAGGCTCTGAGCTGTCAGCACAGAGCCCAACATGGGGCTCGAATTCATGGACCGTGAGATCATGACCTGAGCCGAAGTCAATGCTTAACCGACTGAGCCACCCAGGCATCCCTAAAATACCTTCACTTTTTAACCCACACCTTAGTCATTAAATGACAGGATCACTGGATTTAGAAATTTTACGACAAAAGGTCATCTCAATACTAATAGTAACAGTACCACCTAATACTTACACATAGTACCCATGCCAAGCACTGCTCTTACGTACTTTAAATAAAATCATTGAATACAACCCTTTAAGACTGGTACTGTCATCACACCTGTATTACAGATGAGAAGCTGAGGTATAGAGTTTATAAGTAATCTGCCCAAAATCATTCTCGAAGGTAGAGCTGGGATTTGTACCCAGATAGTTTCCAGAGCTCACACTCATAATCCTATGCCTCTATGGAAAAATTCAATGTTTATATTCTATAACAAATTTTCTTCCTTCAACTCTGCCCTTAAAAAGGTTTTAGAGGGGTGCCTGGGTGGCTCCGTCGGTTGAGTGTCTGACTTTGGCTCAGGTCATGATCTTACGGCCCATGAGTTCGAGCCCTGCATCAGGCTCTGTGCTGACAGCTCAGAGCCTGGAGCCTGCTTCCAATGGTGTCTCCCTCTCTCTCTGCCCCTCCGCCACTCATGTTCTGTTTCTCTCTCAAAAACTAAATAACATAACTTTTTTTTATTTTTTAAAGATTTTAGGAAGCATAGCGAATACATGTAGGCATAACCCCAAAATTTGTTGAAGAATACTATTAACGCAAAAGTGCTATTATTCTAGAGTCACACATAAACAAATGCATTTCCCTCCTAATGTCCTTAAAAATCTATTCCATAAAACCCTTAGGGCTAAGATTACTCATCTTCCTTCACACCAAAAATATATTATGAAACACCTGCTAGATTTGTAATATTCTCTTTTAACTTATGAAGCATTTGATACTTAGCTTTATAGAAGTCTTTACAAAATTTAACACTGAAACAATCGTGGATTTTAAGTACCTAAAACCAAATACACATTCAGAGTTCATCTTATCTTTAGTCCTTCTAATCCAGTAGTTATCAACTAGAGGTGGTCCCCTGCCCCCGCCCCTCTCCCCCATCTGTAGGGACACTTGGCAATGTCTGTAGACAATTTTGTTTTTCACAACTAGAAGTTGGGGGGGAGGGGAGAGGTGTGCTCCTGTCCTCTAGTGGGTAAACATACTATAAAGCACAAGACTGCCCTCCACAACAAAGAATCATCTTGGCCCAAAAAGTCAAGCCAATTAATCCAGTCCCTAAGACAAGGTAGTTGACCCAACTTACAGAGCAAATTCTGACCACCGAAGGGGACACCAAAACAAAGTTAAAAAAGGGTCTCTACCAAAACTTTAGCAGTAATAAGAAGTCACTTTCTTGACTGAAGTTACATATCAAGGAAAGGGTATAAAGCTAACTTTTTAAACGGTTCAGAGCTCTCCTCTTCCTCAAGTTTCACTTAGGAAACTCAGTATTCTCAAAATTTTATTGATATTCCCAAGTAAAAGAAAATGGCAGCCATTCCTAGGTGATACTAAACTGGCCCACCTACCAAATAAACCTCAAATGCTGTTATTCTCATTAAATTATCCCTACTGGGTTGAGAAAAACTGGTGGTCCTTAAACCCCTTGCTTTCTATGTAAAACAGAATAAAATGGCTCAGTGCACACACTTCCACTTCCCAATGAACTACTCTAATCTTCAAGGTCCAGCTCAACTCTTCCAACCCCCGAGTTCTCACATGGCCATAAAGCCAAAAGCTCCATAAGGGAAAGAAAGAATTTGTACTGAACGATTTCTGTGTCTTTGGAATTAAAAACAACCAACATGGTAGACAGTTTCTAGAATCTGTTTTGTGGCTGTATCATAACAGGAATATTTAACTCTCCCATGAAAAGAAATGAGAAAACACCCACAAACACCCAACATTTTACCTCCTCTTCACTTTCTTTATCTTCCTCATCGGAGGACTCTTCCTTGTTTTTCTTTTCATCTTCATCACTGCTGGATTCATCTGACAGAATTTCAGGACATTTGGTTCGCTTAGCTTTCCTGGCCATTCCAGAACTGTTCCGTTCCTTTTTGTTGCCTTTGCTAGAAGTTTTTTTAGATTTTGGCAATGGCTATATACAATAAAGATAACAACGATGGGCAATTATATTTCCAAGTGAATCACTTTTGATAACTACTTCTCAACCCAATTCTTCTTCTTGATCCTATCTCAAGAAGTATTGCCAAACTTAGCTTTATGGAGAACAATTCATCTTTAATGAATCATGTAAATCTTTCTGTCTGAATGGTATACCAATAGCCCTTCATTTGTGTTCTCACACCTAGGCAAGACTTTCACTAATGCTAAAATATATACTCTGTATTCGGACTTGAGATTAGAAGCCCAAATACACACTGGATTAAGCTCCAAGTTATGTACATGTTGTCAAGGGCAATATTTTGAGTTACACTTATAGTTTAGTTCACTCCTATAAGCATTAATGTCAATGCCAGAGGAGCCTCTTGCTTCAGGGGATCTTACAAAGGACTGGAACCATCTGTAAAGGAAATAAAACCTCACCTTACACATCTTGAGTTTATGAACTATATAGTTTATATTCATATTACCTCTGGGCTCTACTTTCACTAATGTCAGGATAATATTCTCATTGACTCTAAATATGCAATTAGTGTTGGGTATGTTAATTATGAAACTAATTAAGAATCACAAAATACGTGTATCACTATTATTTTGATATTCAATTAAACCACTCATATTTAAAAAGCAGAGACCATGTGAAGAAACAGTTTGATCATATTAATCAGCAAATTTAATTCTTAAATGCTTTCTTAGGGGAGTATTTGCTAACTTCTAAAATTGAAAACCATAAAATCTTGCATAAAAGATCTGAAAAGATATACACTGAAGAATTAAAATTATTTCCAAAATTACAGGTATCTTGTTTTTATTTTTGCCTGTTACTTTCTGCAATAAGCAGAAATCATGAGAAAAATACCAGAACATAGCCTTATGATACACAGCTGTATAAATGTTAGTGGTAACTGTGGACACAGTCTTTCATGAAGCTGGCAGAACCACAGCTTTTTCTCTCCTAGAAACTTCCGGTCTTAGGGGTCACCATTGCCTGCACAAAAATTAAGAATAAGGTGGCTGTTTTATGTACGTTCTGTTCTCAGGCTATGTACAGCCCAGAAGATACCCTCTAGCTGCCCAAACAACCTACTCTTCCTAAAGACAGACAGGGCTACAGCCAAGTCTGTTCAGAAATTGTAAGCTCAGAAATTTTTAGTTAGTACACCAACGATATTTCTCAGAGGGGGTTCTCTGTAAGCTTCTATAAAAAAGCTTTCTTGAATGTATATAGATATCCTTGTTATGTGACCTGTTACTATTGCCAATTAGTACCAGGAACCAAATCCATTTGGCTAAATTCTTCAAGCTCACTGGAGAAAACGTGACTCTCAATGTTTAAACTCTCCCTATTAATGAAATCCAGGACTTAACTACATTAGAAAAGTGTGGTACCCCTTTCTATCTCAGTGCAGGAACCAGATACAAGCATTAAGAATATAATCTATATAAGGAATTAGTAATGAGAGGACTTGATAGGTACAGGATAATCTACACAGGAAAGTGAAAGAATGTTGTATCGTTCAAGTAACCAATCAAGAAACTGCAACTTCCAAAAATAAAGCAGCAGCAATATATGTTTTAGAGCTTTCCTATTATTGGTCCTAAAAATAGGTAAACCTTAACCAGAATCCAGTGTCAATAGCATCATCCCTTTTTGGAAACAAAATCCGAAAAATAATCAAAGTACAAAAAAAAAAAAGGTAGTAAAACAATGTTAATTCAATAATTTTATTACTATGGGAGGAAAAATTAATACTAATGAGTTTGCAGTGTTTTTCTTAAATGACAAAAATGTAGGGTAGTACAGAAAGTAACCTGAGATTGTTATCAATAGATTAAGGAGTAATCATCACAGAAGCAGATATAAAAAGTGGGTATGAGTTAGATTCCATAAGAACTTAGCTCTCAAAATACCGTTCATGGATCATAAGGTTTCCTGAGACCTTTTTCGAAACTCACAGGGTCAAAACTATTTTCATAATAATACCAAGACATTATTTATTTTCTCTCTTCACAGTGTTCACATGTGTCCTGACTGCAAAAACAAAGGTGGCTGTACAATTGCTGGCACTTTAGTACTAATCAAGGCAGAGGAGGCAAACTGTGCTAGGAGTCATTATCTTCCTCATAAGCACGCACTAGAAGTGAAAAGAAAAGGCGTTCCTTTAAGAATGTCTTTGATGAAGCAATAAATACTAATGATGTTAACTCTTAACCTCTAAGGACATGTCCTTATGATCTCTGTGTAACAAAATGGGAGGTACACCTCAAACACTTTTGCCACATACTGAACTTCACTGATTTTCTCAAGAAAAAGCACTTGCACAATTGAGCTGGGAGCTGAGCCAGCTACCTTTTTCATGAAACACCATTTGTAAAAGAACCGTCAAAGTAGGCCTTTTCAGACTTAGGTATTGAAAAGACATGTTCTCAAAATGAACGTGAGCCTGTCACTGCAAGGAAAATAACTGATGGTATTTATTGCCAATAATAAATTTGAAAACTTCACATGGAAAATTCACATCCATCACCATGAGCTTAACAGCCTCCTAACACTTAAAGGGTTTTCTGACGAGACAGTGATTTTATTAATTAATGACTTTTTGACAGTGTTTAATGGAAACGTGCCAACATTTGGAAGATCTGCACAATTTAAAAGCCAGTAATTTCCAAACGGTGAATGTTGGTTTCAGAGACCACATTACAGCTAACCGTTAACAAACTACAACTGTGGAGTTCTGGTGGTCCATCAGAGGTGAATATCAAATAATTACCTCAAGGTTTTTAAAGATATTCTTTTCTTGGGGCGACTAGGTGGCTCAGTCTGTTAAGCCTCCGACTTGGGCTCAGGTCATGATCTCACAGCCCGTGGGTTTGAGCCCCGTGTTGGGCTCTGTGCTGATAGCTCAGAGCCCAGAGCCTGCTTCAGATTCTGTGTCTCCCTCTCTCTCTCTCTGCCCCTGCCCCACTCCCATTCTGTCTCTCTGTCTCTCGAAAATAAACAAACATTAAAAAAATGTTTACAAAAAAAAAAGATATTCTTTTCTCTAACTACATACGGGTGAGGCTGGATCTTCTTTACATACTTCAAAACGATGTGCGATTGATTGAAATGCAGAGCTAAATGACAGTACAGCAGTCTTTTATGCCAGACATGAATAGACTTGCAGAAATATAAAACAATACCATTCTCTAATTTTGTTGAAAGTATATTTTTCATATAATACATCACTTTTGTTAACCTGTATTAGGCTGTTATTTACAAATTTTTCAGTTTTATCCTACAATACAGTAAATATCAAAATAACCTACATAAAACTTCTGGAGTCCTCATTAATTTTTAAGAGGGTAAATGGATTTTAAAACCAACACATTTAAAAATCATTGAGTAAAAGAATATAAACATATCCCTCATAACTTAAACAACAACTTAATGGCGTCTGCGAAAACGGTATTCAATTTGTCACATGAAATTCTTAAGTAGAGGTCTGTCCACAGTAAAATTTAAAAAAATAGGGCATCTCTCGTCTTTAATCAAACTCAACACACACACACACCTGAAAACAAAATCCACCATAGCCCTAGGATATATAGCTGTATGACAATTGACAAAAATATCCTTTATCTGCCTTTCTCCAGCTAATGGTAAATTATACCAAGAAAAAATAAAACCAGAATCATCTTCTGGTTCCTAATCTTTATGCCCTCTCCCTTCACCGATGGTGTTCCCTTGAACTCCTAGGTCCTCTAGAATTTTTCCCAGTTTCTTTGCTATCAAAATAAGAATATTTACTGACTGACTTACACTAAAAGTGGAAGGTAAGGTAAGTAATACTTTAATAGACACTGGAAGTTGGTAATAAGTCATGTTAAACAATTAGGGCAAACTTAATCTGAATTTTAGGAAGAGTGGGGCAAAGTATAAGGCCATTTTACTTCCATATTCAGCTCTGACTCTGGAAACCCAATCCAAGAAACTTGCAAGAGGTTTTTTTAATGTTCTATTTTCATAGCCTTATTCCAATTATCTAGAAAATACCCAGCTCTACTATCCACCCATCTTATCTTTCCTGACCTCGATGAAGGTTGCATACCTTCCCTACCAGCCTAACCGCCTCACCCTCGACTCAACCTGTTTCTGTTCTTCCAGTGCCTTCTAGATATAAAACCCTGGATACTTAGTTTGTATTTCTGTCCATTTGATATTAACTTAGTTAATAATTATTTCTCTTAATCTTCTATCTTTTGTATCTGATAAGATAGGTCTGTATGTCTATGTTATTTCTATCATGAAACTGTTGCAGGTATGTCAACAGAGGCATGTTCTTTGAATGCAGAAAATACTACCGAATGCTGACAAGCAATGCTACTAACAAACTAAATTATTCCATAAAAAGAGAAAGGAAAGAGAGGCTATAATTGATTATTAAAATAGTAAAAATTGGTCCTCACTTTGCCAGAAGGCTTTGGATGCATTAAGAAATTCAAGATCCTCTTCACCAGTTCACTATTTACACCTGATCTCTCCAAATCAAGAACCTCGCAGATGCTCTTTAACATGGCATTTCTAAATCTAAAACAGAAAATGAAAGAAACCAAATTTGTTACGTAGCAAAGTTCATAAACATTCTCTACAAGATAAAGGCAATAGCTAACCAAACTGGCTCAGGTACAAACATTAAAAAAAAAAAAAAAGTGGCCGGGGGGCACCTGGGTGGCTCAGTCAGTTAAGTGTCTGACTTGCACTCAGGTCATGATCTCAGAGTTTGTGGGTTCAAGCTCCACTGTCCTGCTCTGTGCCGACAGCTCAGAACCTGTCTTCAGAATCTGTCTCTCCCAGTCTCGGCCTCTCACCTGCTCATGCTCTGTTTCTCTCAAAGATTTAAAAAAATAAAAAATAAAAAAAGGGCATCCAATGGCACCTGAGTGGCTCAGTCCGTTAAGTGTCTGACTCTTGATTTCAGCTCAGGTCATGATCTCAGAGTGCTGAGATCTGCGCTAACAGCACGGAGCCTGCTTGGGATTCACTCTCATTCTTTCTGCCCCTCCCCTACTCTTTCTCAAAGAAATTTTTTTTAAAAAAAGTAGCATATCCAATGTTTCTCTGAATATAAAAAGTACTTGCCTGAAAAGAATAATAAAAAATACTTTCCTAATAATCTTGACTAATGTACAAAATACAACCAGATGAGATTATTAATAAACTGAAAACACCATTTACCAGTTAAGCTTTAAAACATTTTTTTTACAGTTTATTTATTGAGGGGGGGAAGGGGAGGAGAGAGAGAGAGAGAGAGAGAGAGAAAAGAGAGGGCATGCAGGAAAGCAGGAAAGGGCAGAGAAGGAGAAAGGAGAACCTCAAGCAGGCTCTGAGGGATCAGTGCAAAGCCCAACTCAGGGCTGGAGATGGGCTGAACCCCTGAACCAGGAGATCATGACCTGGGCTGAAATCAACAGTTGGACACAACCGACTGAGCCACCCAGGCACCTCTGTCAATTAAGTTTTAAAGGTAGTAAACGAATAAACTAAGTCAATTCACTAGAAAATAATGTAAGAAGTTGCCATAAAATTCATGGACTCAACTTCTCTGGTGGTGATTATAAGACCAGTGCTCTCACCCCTGAGCTATGGGGCCAAACATGGTTGGTGATTAAATACTACATTTTCCACACTCCTACTGTGATGAAGGAACAGTCATCTCTATTATTTACAACTTTAAACTGTAAAGGATTTAATAAACAAAAGCTCTTAAGAATGTATCATCTTGGGGCGCCTGGGTGGCTGAGTCGGTTAAGCGTCCGACTTTCGCTTAGGTCATGATCTCTCGGTTCGTGGGTTCGAGCCCCGCGTTGGGCTCTGTGCTGACTGCCAGCTCAGAGCCTGCAGCCTGTTTCAGTCTGTGACTCCCTCTCTCTCTGATCCTCCCCTGCTCACACTGTCTCTCTCTCTCTCTCCTAGAAATAAATAAAAATATTTAAAAAAAAAGAATGTATCATCTTGCTTGCATTATGGGGAAGAACACGGTTTCACCAAATTCATTATTTTCAAAATAGTTTAAATGGTACCTGGAAGCTGGGAGATCAAAACAGCTGGCAAGGGATAAGAGTGGGGGAGGGTGGTGGACTTCTCACTATATCCCCCTGAACTTGCATTTTGAACTGTCTGAATGACTTACTTGCGGATGCTGTTCTTCTAAGAAATAGAAGCATTTTTTTATTTTGAGTTTTCAATAATCTTAACAGTAACCACTTACTGGAAAGTAATGAACATCTCACCTTAATAGGTATGAAGAAAAGTCAGATCTTGGCATTAAGAGAAAAGCATTAGCAGTCTACTAAAAATGTTTGGATGGTCATATTTAAATGTTTAAAAATTAACTTAAGGGGTGCCTGGGTGGCTTAGTCGGTTAAGCGTCCGACTTTCGCTTAGGTCATGATCTCGCGGTTCGTGGGTTCGAGCCCCGCGTCGGGCTCTGTGCTGACTGCCAGCTCAGAGCCTGGAGCCTATTTCGGAGTCTGTGACTCCCTCTCTCTCTGACCCTCCCCTGCTCACGCTGTCTCTCTCTCTCCTAGAAATAAATAAAACATTAAAAAAAAATTTTTTTTAAATAACTTAAAACATATTGATCAAAACACAATACTTATTAAAATAACTTACTTTTTCAACATTTCCTCCTTCTTTTTATATTGGACACTTCCTTTTTCAAATGGAAAACCACTGAACTGACCCACATTCTTCTTTAATGAGGACACCTGAAAATGTTTCCTTTATTATTAATGCTATTTATTACCCAATAATGTACATAAGAAAAAATTCAAAGCCAACATCTGTATTTTCAAATCTGTCTTCCAGTTACAATACTGGTTTATTCAACATTTCTTACTCACAACTGAAAATAGTATTTTGTCACTCAAATATTAGCATTATAAAAGGCTTACAAATTTAATTATTTAAAAATAACAATTTGAATTGAATAAATTTCCATCTGGGAATTTTTCCTGGCAATTACGGAACCACAACTGTTATCTGACAGTATTATGGGGGGATGTGGAAAGTCACTTCTTAAAAAAAGATCCTTTCCTCAAGTAATATAAATTACTAGTAATATTTCCCGTATCAGAGTCATGGATTTTATTCTTTGAAAAGAACAGAAGACTTCCAAAATCCAAAAGTTAATACAGTTTAGCAATAAGTCTTGTGTAAATGAGATTGTAGTGAGGATCAAATGAGATAACACACAAGATTCTAAGATCAAACTTCACTTTGTCAATGGAAAACCCAAAGCAAAGTTTCCTCAATTATATGAAATACTGACTTGTTCTAACAAGTCCCCAAAGAACTACCACCTAATTTATCAGATATTTGCTCCAAATGAGATACAATTAAACTGTATCATTTTTTTCTGAATAGCTAGAAACATCTGACAAACAAATTTCTTCTAATACACTTAAAGATCGCTAAAATTACCACAATTTAAAATTTTAGTACGGCATAAAACCTACAGTACAAAGCCTGGATATTACAATCCTAACTGCTAATGTCTACCTTCGTATTCTGTGATAAATCACTGAACAAGTGTGTTTCAGTCTATTCATTTGTATGGTACAGAAACTGAACTAGCTGACTGCCGAAATCCTTTGAGAACTAAAATTATATGTTTCTTTTGTGAAGTATTTTAATACGTAAATATGTTACTAGATTAAAGACAAAAAATACGAAAGGTCTTAACTGTGCCTGGTCTGTTGTAAAGTAGTTTATGTAGATTTCGAAGTTCATCCGTTTTCTTTTTACTCAGGAAGAAATGTATCCTTTCAATTTCACAAAGTTTCTGTCCCTTTCCTAGGTAAAAAAAAAAAAACACCGCAATCATTAAAGTTAAGTAGTGTTATATGTTAACAGATTTAAAAAATTATTTTAATGATGGTTATTTTTACAGCGTAATTTATATATAGTGTTCACTGAAAAAGGCAAACTAAATGAAATTATACCAATAATATATACTTAGTAAACACTAAAAACTGAGCACTCCTGACCATCATTTTGATGTTTAAACATTTTTACTGTTGAGTGAACAGAATAAACTTACCTTGTGCAATTGTAAATGGCTCTCTCTGTAAGGAAGAGACTTGCATGGTCAACCTCTCCACTTTTTTCTTTTCCCTCTTGCCTTCCACGATCAGACTCTTTTCTAGAAATTAATTTAACACTTCTTAAATAACTAGAAGCTTAAACAACACATTGACTTTATTGGATAAACATATACGGAAAAAAACTGCAGAAATCTCTAATACTTTATTCTTCTCCTGAGCATGATTTTGAGAGGCAAAGGAGAGATGAAAAATAGTAAGTTAACAACATCACTTAAGTCTTTTTTGAGGGTGACATTTTGTTTTCCTGGCAACATCACAAGGGATCCAGTTTAAAAAAAAAATAAATCAGGGGGCGCCTGGGTGTCTTATTTAAGCATCCGACATCAGCTCAGGTCATGATCTCATGGTTTGTGGGTCCAAGCCCTGCATCAGGCTCTGTGCTGACAGCTCAGAGCCTGGAGCCTGTTTCAGATACTGTGTCTCCCTCTCTCTCTGACCCTCACCTGCTCACGCTGCCTCTCTCTCTCAGAAATAAATAAAACATTTAAAATTTTTTTAAAAAAATCAGAAAGAAAAAAGCTTTTACTCAACTACAATTATTACTAATGAAAGTCCAGTCACTGGGAACAATCACCAAGGCCCTCCTCACTAAGACTTCTCTGATTAGACCTAATTCTGTTGACTGCAATTTAGTTTATGGTACATCATCTAATAGCTACCTTAGACTAAGATTATAAGAACTTTCAAAAACACACAAAGAAAAGCAATAATTCAGTAAGCTGATGATAGAAAAACAAGGACCTTAGCTAAGGCAGAGCAGCCTAATTTTGCTATAAATAGGGTAAAATTATACAAGTTCACATTTATTGCAACTGACTGAAAATTCAGTAAATGGTCATAAATCATTCTAAAAAAAAGTTAAACTTTGTGGTGTGGTCTGCTTAAAAAAAAGAAAGAAAGAAAGAAAAAAAGGCCAGAGGGGCTCCTGGGTGCTTGATTAAAGCGTCTGACTCTTGATTTTGGCTTGGGTCATAATTTCATGGTTCCTGAGATTGGGCCCCAAGTAGGGCTCCTCAGCCCTACGATTCTCTACTAGTCTTTCTCCTTGCCCCTCCCCCATGTTCTTGCATTCTCTCTCTCAAAATAAACACTTAAAAAAATGGATTAAAAACTTAAACCAGTAAACTTAAATTTCTAAAATGATTTACACCCACTGAGACAAATTCAGATAAAAAAGAGGACACTGAACGTTCTTTCACGCATTCAGCTGAACACACCTGTTTTGTGCAAAGCCGCACTAGATACTAAGGGGAGAATGAAGAGATGATTAAGACACTAAATATCCTGTTAACAAATGTATGGCTTGTTTCCATTGATAGACTTTTAAAAATAACTTCCAGCTAAGCGTTTCCAGGTTTGATCTACTTATTTTGTATCTATATTTATAATGTACACTTTATTGTTTTTAGGTATTGATAGACTTTAATAAAAATAATACATTTACTCTTCCCCTATTAATACCTTCATTTGAGGCTATTTGTTTTAAAGGATTTATGACTTATTGTTAAATTCTGGGTTAAACATTCTGTTGGCAAGACACAAAATTATACGTTTTGGAATATAAAAAAAAAAAGACACTAAATATCCTGAAAGACATCATGTCTACTGGTGTTTGGTCACAAATATACTCCATGGAGAAGATGATGAACACCTTAGGAAAGGTACAAATAAAAGCCAAACATTGGAAGTGGCTTTGAAAGATCTGGAGATTTAAGGTTTTGCGCAGAAAAAATTAGTAAGGATAAAGGGACTCCAGCAGGTATATTCTGGCAATGGTGTGTAGAGTGAAGGAAACGCACACTAAAGCAATCCCTGTCAACCTGATGCTTAAACCCTGATGTGAACATCTGCTTGCCTCTGATTACCACCTATAAGCTAATGACTCTCCTGATCTCCAGTCCAGAGCTTTCTCCTGAGCTTCAAATCCACTGAGAGCCGCCAAGTGGACAGCGCTACTTCAGGTCCTACGCGTACCCAAGCCTGTGCATTCAAGACAGAAGTCCTAATCCTCTCCACACTCACTCACTTTTGTGAATTCTGTTTTTCAGTAAAGGTAATATTGTCAGCTCCGCTGCCAAAGACAGAAACCTAAGAGTCATCTTTTATACCAGCCCCTTCCCCACCCCAGTCAAGTCCACCTTCCTCTGGCACCAAGGACTCCACCACCTTGTTTCTGAGATGCCTCAGTAGTAGAATTACATTTTCAGGGCTAACTGGGATAAAAACCTTCACAATTTTAGTTGCTCCAAAAAAACTGAAAGGAAGGAAACAGAACAATAAACAATTAGAACGACAGAATTGCTTGGGGGTAATTCTGGGGGGAAAAAAATGACATTTTGAATGATCATCTGTCCCCTAAGCATTACTGTATCAGCCACCTGTAGTATTTTTACATGATTTCTATAATTTTTTTCCTGACACAAAGGAATCCATCATCCTCGTGGTATAAAAACTTGGTCTTTAAAAAGAAAGTAAACAACAAACAAAAAAATCGGAGACCACTGAGAAAATTTTGGACTAGTAGTTGAGACACTGCAGCCAATCTCTATAGTTACTGTACTGTGAATGATTTAAAAATAATGTCTATCTTTTCTCACCGCTTCTGTACTTAAATGTGGAAATGCTCTGATCTCAGAGCACCTCCCACTTCAAACAAACAAAAAGGCAATACCGTGTAATCTCAACCCAGATTGTGAGTATAAAATGCTGACCAGGGGCTGGTGGAGGCTTAAAAGAAATAGACAGTGAAAGCCGGGTTTGGAAAGAACCCTTCAAACGTCTTCCCAAGTTTGGCTGGAGCCGCCTATGAAAGAAACCTGGACGGGGCTCTTGTCATCAAAGCACGTTCAAAACTGTGATCTAGGTTTCTAGGGGGCTGGAGAACACGTTCGGAGGCTGGCACACCCGGAAGTGGCCCTGCCCCGTGCGCGCTGGAGAAAGTGATGCGCTCTTGCTTCGGACCCCAGGCAAATCAGGGCTAACCGCACTCTCCTGCAACTCCAAAACCCACGCCAGTTTCGGAGCGCTTTCAGAGCTCACCGCTTTCGTATTCAACTACTTTCTCAAGTCGCAACAGCTTCCGCTGGTGCTTCCCCGTGAAAGTGACCTCCCCCGAGCCTTCAGAGGGCCCGTGCTGAAGTTCGGCCGAGGCACTAAAAGTTGCCAGGCCACTTCCAAGACTGGCGTCTGTGAACAACTTCTCGTCTTCATGTGCGGTTTCACGGAAGCCCTCGCAAGGGCTTCCAAAGGCAAAACACCTGTACTTAAATGCGATGAAAAATAAAAGCAGCTACCCTGGCGACTTGAGAAGCTGCCAAAACAGAGGCTTAAAAAGCAGATCTGAAACTTAGAAACGTCCTGTCAAATGACGAAAACGTGAAGAACGCAGACTGACGGCCGCCAAGTCAACCGCACCTCCAAACACGTAAATAAAACCCGAACGGCGGTTTCCTACCAACTGGAATTCGCTAAGTTAATTCTCTGCTAATGCTCAGCGCCAGGAAGGGATAAATCTCGCCGACCTTCTCGCTAGAGATCCTCCGATTCGGGGACTCCAGGAGCCAAAAAAAAAAGGGGGGGGGGCAAGAAAACGGTTTCCTGCGAAACCCATCACCAGGGACGCGACTTTCTCCCACCTTTTTCTTCCTCCTCTTCCTCCTCCTCCTCTTCCTCGTCGTCTTCGTCTTCCTCTTCACTTTCGTCTCTCCGGCCGGGCATTTCGGGTTCCTTCTCGGACGCGGGCTGGGCGGGGGTTCCGTCTCCCTCAGCAGCTGGGCCCGAGGAGGACATGCTGCCGACCTGCGGGCGGGCCAGAAGCCACACTCGGTCCCCTCGACCCCGGCGGCAGGGACAGGGCGGCCCCCGCGACGGGGCCGCCCCTTCACGGCCCCAGGAAGCCGGGGGCCGCGGGAAACCCGGCCTCCAAGTTGCCTCCCCCCCGCGGCCGGGACTGCCGCGCTCACTCCCCGGGGGCGCCTTCCCTCCCGCTGCGGGCATCCCCGAGGCGGGAAGCCGCGGGCGCCGAGCCGCCCCTCCCTCCGCCGGGCCCGCGCCGCCGCCGCCGCCGCCGCCGCCGGCCGCCCGCCCCGCGTCCCCTCCCCCGCCCCAGGCCGCCGTCCAAATGGCCGCGGCGGTGCGGGCGGGCCCGCGGCGCCCTCGCGGCCTCCCCCTCCCCGACGCGGCCCTCACCGCGGGTGCCGGCCGCCGCGGGCCTGGCGCGCGAAGGCACGAAGACGCTCCGGGAGGCGGCGGCGAGCGCCGAGGAGGAGGCGCGCGGGCCGCTCTCTGGCGTGACGCTCGCGCCGCGCTCTCGGCTCCCCCGAGTCAACAAGATTTTCAAAATGGCGGTTCGGGAAGGAAAGCGGGAATGCGGCGGCCAATCAGGGCCGCGAGCTGGGAGTTGGCGCGCGCGCGGGTGGGGGGGCGGGGCGGCCGGGCGCCTCCGCGGGGAGCCCGGGCCGGGGCGGGGCGGGGCCGCGAGGGGTCGCCCGGGCGGCGGGGGGCTCCCGGCGGAGGAGGCGTGCGGGCCGCGTCCCGGGCTGCCGGCGGGCCTGCGGGGCTGGCCGCGAGAACGCTAGGGGGCCTGCCTGGGCATTGTCTCCTCGGTTCCGGCCCGGAAAGGGGGGGCAGCCCGCGCCCGGGAGGGGCGGGCGGCGGGCGGTAGAGAAGTTTCCGTCCCAGGAAGTCGCTACCTGCTGTATTTCACAGAGGTCGAGGGGAGTTACTAGATGAGTGATCTCCCGTCAGGTTCCGGAGATCGTGCTGGGGGGCGGGGGGAGTGAGTCCTGAAACGGCTGTATTTCGGAGGACCCCCTGCCTCGTCAGGTGCGCCGTAAGGAAAAAGACCCTACCACGTTCAAAGTTCACGTCACCAGAGACGAATCGATTTCCAGATCTGTCAACGCAGCGTGTGTGAGCCCGATTTGCAGATCTGTAAATGTAGGAGTGCGCGTGTGAGACAGATGGAGGGAGGAGAGACAGTAGAGGAAGTACGGCACTGCCCAGTAGTACCCATGAAGGCAGGGGTTGTGTGTGAGAGAGAGAACAGAGGATGTCCAGGGTTGCCCAGTCCAGACCCGTCAGTGTGGGGGCGATAGTAGAGGGAGTACGGTACTGCCCAGTCCACGCTCGTAAATGTCCGGGAATAGTGTGTGAGATAATACAGGAAGTACGGTATTGCCCATTCTAGGCCCGTAAAAGTAGGGGTGTGTGTGTGTGTGTGTAAGAGAGAGAGATCATAGGAAATACGGTAGGGAGGTGTGTGTTGTGTGTGTGAGAGAGAGATCATAGGAAATACGGTAGGGGTGTGTGTGTGAGAGAGAGAGAGAGATCATAGGAAATACGGTAGGTGTGTGTGTGTGTGTGTGTGTGTGTGTGTGTGAGAGAGAGAGAGATCATAGGAAATACGGTAGGGGGGTGTGTGTTGTGTGTGTGAGAGAGAGATCATAGGAAATACGGTAGGGGTGTGTGTGTGTGTGTGTGTGTGTGTGTGAGAGAGAGACAGAGAGAGAGATCATAGGAAATACGGTAGGGGTGTGAGAGAGAGAGATCATAGGAAATACGGTAGGGGTGTGTGTGTGTGTGTGTGTGAGGATAGGTGTGTGTGTGTGTGAGAGATCACAGGAAATACGGTAGGGGTGTGTGTGTGTGAGGGTAGGTGTGTGTGTGTGAGAGAGAGAGATCATAGGAAATACGGTAGGTGTGTGTGTGTGTGTGTGTGTGTGTGTGTGTGTGGTGATAGGA